AACTAGAAGTCGGTGATATTTAGGCCTCTGACTCCAGTCATATCCGAACGTTTCCTACCTTCTCGGCAACAAGGGGTTCTATGCCTTTTGGGGCTGGAATAAGAAAGTTTTAAAATTTAAGTCCAACATCCTCCAAAGTCCCCAACATCCAGAAATCCAGAATCGAGACTAAAACTCAAGCCTCTCGACTTGTACTCCAGCACTCTCGCCACCAACGCAGTCCTCCTTCTGGAACTATTGCTCGTCAGCTCCGAGACCGATGATACCAATAAAGAAAGGAAAGTGAGGAAAGGCGGGAGAGATGTCCTTGAGGAGGAAGACGGGACACTGGGAGCTGTGTGGGCAGACCCCAGTGCCCAGTACAGATGAGTTACCTGCCACAAAGTGTTCACCCAGGGGTCTCCGAGGGCCGGTTAGGTGAGGTGGAGGGTGAGCAGAATCTGGAAGTTTTTGCCTTGCCAGCTTCCAATGTCGTTGGGACAAGGAGGAACAGATGCTGGCAAAGCAAAAACAAAAGGCGTCCTCTAGAGATGTTAAAAGGTGGTCTGCAAAATGCTAATAATAACATTTTTAAAGGTTCTGAAGTCAAATAAATTTGGGAAATACTAGATTAGGCAAAGAGAAAGATATTTATCACAGGATCTCTCAGAGCCATCAAGTGATTAATGCGCATTTCGATCCTGCAAAGGGGTGTTTATTCGAGAACGTGGCTTGTCTCAAACTATCCTAACTGCAGAATTCTTTCTTGAGAAGCTTCTCCCAGGATTCATGGGCCACGTAATGCATTTTGGGAAAAACCGTGCAGAAGGCCTGCGCTCCTGTAGCAGGCACCGTCAATGCCGTGGCAGCTGTCTCTCCTCACACTTCAGTGTGCACTGACCTGCACAGCTGCCAGCACCTACCTTCCTTCGCCCAGGGCCTGCTCTGGCCACTGGAGCCCACTGTGCCCATCCATATGAGTGGCAGGCCTAAAGATCTGAAGAATTAGCAACCCCTGGGAGCAGCCCTCAACCAGTGGCTACTGGGAGGGGATGTAAAAATGCCCCTGCTCCATTCCCAGGCGGGAGGGCTCACACCTGCCCTGCTCCTTGCTGACTCCCAGCTGCCCTCGCAGGATGGTGCCCCAGTTACCCACAGTGGCAACCGGCTCTAAAATGTACCCTTTCTTGACTGCCTTCTCTTTCCTGTCTCACTCCCCTACTCCCCTGCCACCTCCCAAGCTACTTGCACTGAGATCCCCGGCTCAAGGGCTGCTTCTGAGAGAACCCAAATCACAAGAGCTGTCACCTCCTGACGGCTTTCGGAAGGTCGCAGATGTCTCCCCCAGCAATTCCTGAAAACACTCTCACTTATCACTAAATCTACTTTTCCTCCAACAACAGACTTCAGGAATAAAGCTATTTCTGCTCCCCAGCTAATGGGAAGGTGCTTAGTGTCCCACAGAATGCCCCCCGCTACACACACTAAAGCAAGGATCAGGGTCACCCTGGACCTCCCCATGCCTCACGGCCCTCAGCCAACCTGTCACCACATCTCAAACTTCTCATTCCACCACCTCTCTCCACTGCCCCTGCCACTCCAGCTAGCCCACCACCATTTCTCACGTGGATTGCACCCACAGCCTCCTCACTGTTCACACTTTAGGGCCTTTGCATATGCTGCTTCTAAGTCCTGGAGTACCACATGCAACCCACCGCTTGGCTCAGACAGACCGGTGACTCTCAGCTTCCTGTCCACTGTCTCCATAAGCTGCCCGACCCTCCCTCCCCCATCCATTCCCTCTTTGGGCCCTGGTCTTTCTTATTATGAAATCACTCAGCTATACAAACAATTTAGGGAACCGTATATCAAACACTTGTGTGCCCGACCCTGCTTAAGAGCAAGACATCACACACATCACGTGGCCTCCCTGAACTCCTTCCCAGTCACTCCTACTCTGCTCCATGCTCACCACAGTCCTGAGTCTGGGGCTCCTCACTCCTTCGCCTGTCTTAATATCCTTGCATATATGTGTGTCCCCGAACAATATATATCTTTTTTTCATGTTTTATTTAGCTTTATATAAACAAAACGACTTGTTCTCCTTTTTTCACTCCACGTTCTGTAGGTGATATGTATCCAATATGGTAGGTGCTGCTCCCATTCACTCATCTTTACCCGCTGGTGAGTCCTCCTGGGGTGACCGTCCATTCTCCTGATAACAGCCACCTATTGTTTCTAGTGGCAGGCCATTGGTACTGCCCTGAGCCTCTTGTACCCACTCGCTTAGCCCGCTTGCTAGTTTGTTAGTTTTATACCCAGGAATTTGCTAGGTAAAGGGACATACCATCTCAGGGGCAAAGGTGCCTCTATCATTTTCTATTTCTTCCCAATAAAATGATTTAACTCTACCTGTTGATGTCCAGCCCATCCAAACCCCACCCCCCACCTCTCTTTCTCTCTCACTTCTCCTATTGGACCTGTACGAACCTCCCCATTTGGGGGCAGCCGGCACGGTGTACAAACACCCAGAGCAGGAGGCTGGCAGCAGTGACTCCGGGGGCCGACAGCCACAGAGCTAATCTCGGATTTGCCGCTTTGGCCGTGTGCCTTTCTCTCTGAGCCTGTGTTTCCTCCACTGTGAAATTGGGATACCTATTGTGACCAACAATAGGGGAGTGACAATGATTAAATGAGATAGATAAGCACTGGATAAAGAGAAGCTGTTATGTTACCTTTGGAGCCACAGAGGATGCCAATAACTCTGTTTATCACTCAGGACTACTTTGGTTGTAAGTGACAGAAACTCCAGTCAAGCCAATGGGAGAAAACTGGTAATTTATTGGCCCATGTAACTGGGAAGTCTGAAAGGGTATCTCACTTCAGGTGTTACTGGATCTAGTGGTTCTGACACCACCAGGAAGCTGGCTCTGTCCATCTCTGGGCCATTCTCTCCTCCGTGGTGGCTTTGTTCTCAGACTCTCCAAGTGGGGCTCCAGGACTACATTCTTCCAACTTAACAACTGCCAGGAACAAAAAGAGCTTCTCCTTCCTGACACTTCTTGCCCAAGTCCCAGGGCTGGTCCTCACTGGCCAAGGTTAGGTCACATGCCCACGCTGGAGCTAATCACAGTGACCTGGATGTCCACCAGACCCTACTATTCAAAGTATGGTTCTCAGAACAGCAGCGTCAGAACCACTTGGGAGCTCCTTGGAAGTTCAGAATCTCAGGCCCCATCCCAGACCTACTGAATCAGAATCTGCATTTTGGAAAATCATCCAGGTGAGCCATCTGCACATCAAAGTCTGAAAATTGCCGCACCATACATTAACCTTTTAGATATTTAGACAATTTTTCCGTTTTGTTTTATTGAGAACCACAAAAAGTAAGAACTAAGAAAGCCCTTCGAGGTCATCAAGTCCTCCCCTTGCTCTAAGTGTCCACCCAGTGCATCTCCACTCCGTCTCTACCATCAGCACAGCCATGGTCTCCATGGACTATCTCATGGGGAAATGCGTCTGGGCCCCAGAAGTGCCAGCCTGGGTCAGACTTGCCTCACTCAGAAGGTGACATGTCTTAGCCATCAGTCAGTCAGTCATGCAGTACCTGGTCAGGACCCTCAAGAGCACAGAGGCCCTGTGAAGGATGGAGACACACACACACACACACACACACACACACACACACACACGCACGCACACACACACCCTCAGGCACAACCCACCCTCGCCCTGACTCTGACCCACTATGCCCCCCTAAAGCCAAAAGCACTGCAGACCACAACAGCCTTTATTCTGTTACAGAGTAAAGCTGGGGCCAGGGCAGTTCATTCTCAGGTTGTGTCAGAAGGTGCAGAGTATTGGGGGCATGCAGACTAGACCCCAAAGTGACAATAAGTTAGGGGGAAAATTCTCAGGCTGTTGTCAGGCTGAAGCCGGGGCAGGGTACCAAGTGGGCCCCCCAGAGCCACTGCCCAGCTGCCCAGCTCAGCCCACCCAGGCAAGGCTGGTTCCAGGACAGGCTCGCCTCATGCTGAAACACAAGAGGGCAGAGGGCAGAGAGAAAGGGAGAGATTATGGAGTCAGGAAGGAGTGAAGGGGTAAGAGGGGTCCCCAGAGTCAGAGAGGGTAGTAGGGTGGGGTCATCAAGGGAGGGTCAGGAGCCCGCAGGCTCAGGGCAGGGCTGGGCTGGGCAGGGCCTCTTACCAGGTCCTCAGTTAAGCTCCTACAGATTCTCGTAATCTGGAGCCCCCTCTTCTTCCTCTTCTTCCTCATCCTCTACCTTCTGGGAACTCGGGGTGGCTGTGGAAGGAAGGCAGGTTTGTCTTTAGCTTGCAAACCATCCCCCCACCCAGGGAGCTCCCCAGTTCCAGCCCCTCCCCCAGCACATACCAGGCTTGGTCCTGGCTGTGGGCTGCAGTTCCTGGGACACGTTCACATACTCCCGGCTCCCATCTGTGAGGACAGGTCAGAAGGAGGAATGGCCACACCAAAAGGAGGGGCAGGCCACGTTGAGAGTAAGGGAGAAGGAGGACACCCAGACGGAGGGCAAGGGACCCCAAGAAGGTTGCACATAGGCCACACTGAGAGTGGGGGCCGGTTGGTGGGTGAAGGGGAGGAAAGGACGCTGGACCTTAAAAGGGCACCATGGGGCACAAGCCACTCACCCAGAGATGCATCTGCACTCTCCTCACTCTCAGGGATGTTCACGTAGTCTTCCCCTGACTCCACTGTAGGAAACAATCAGGATCCCCCCAGCACTGTCACCCGAAGCCTTCAGGCATAGAGTCTCAGAGCCCCCGAGTGCAGACACCCAGAGGCTCCCAACAACAGCCACCAAAGACTTTAGACATAACCAGCCTGAGACTTCCACACACAGATGCCTGGAGAGGGTGCTCCGAACCAGTGATGGCAGTGACCAAGACGAGGGCAAAGGCCGTGGCAATGGAAAGAATTGGGCAACTTGACCAGAACTGATGACAGGGAATGCAATTGCGGGAAAGAGGAGAGACAGCAGACCCCAGCCAGTGCCCCAGGTTGGAGAGCAGGGACAAAGAGCAGCTTGGAGCAGTGGAGCTGGGTGGCACGTGTGGAGGGGAGATGACATTCAGGGCTGAGCCGAGTCAGAGGTGCCATTGAACCAATTGGCCCCTCTTGCTCAGCCTGCCCTGACCCCCACTTCGGTCTTCATCCCATCACAGCGCCTAACGCCATTGCTAGTACCTTATTCTTTGTGCTGACTTGTTTCTCTGTGAGGATGTGAACGAGGAAGGCTATGAAGCCAGACTGCCCAGGTTCAAATCCAGCTCTAGCACTAACTAAACATGTAACCTCAGACAAGCTACCCGACCTCTCTGGGCCTCGGTTTTCTCATCTGTAAAACAGGATGAGTAACGGTACTCATCTCACAGGGGTCGTGTGAAGACTAAAGCAGGGTTGGTAGGTATTAACCAGTAAGTGCTACCATACAATTATTAAATAAATAAACCCTGCCATCGTACACACGGGATAACTGAGGTGCAGGAGGGGAACGGACAGGCTCAACGGCACCTGGAAATTGTGAGTTTTAATAAGCTAATAAACGTAAAACTTATTAGGGCATGTAGTAGGCCCTCGATAATGTTAGTTCTTTTATCATGACTCTGCCTCATGAGCTGTTCTAGCAGAGGCATCCAGTAAATATCATGAATGAATGAGTGAGTGAATGAAAAGAAGCCCTTGAACAGATGATCTGGAGCTCAGGAGAGTTCCGACCAATTGGAAATCCGGATGGCAAATCAAGCCAGGGTATAGAACTAATGGCCCCAGGCATGTATAGAGAGAGAGAGAAGAGAGTAACAGAACCCTAAAGATTCGCAGACACCAAGGAAAGCCTCTAACGGGCAGGATGAGACCAAATCGAAGGCAGAAAAGCAGCTCAAAGGAAACAGACAATTCAGGAAACAGAAAAAAAGTTCTGAAAAACAAAAATAAAAAAGACAACCTATAATCAATATCCTTAGCGATTTACAAGATGACATCGCCTCCATGAAACAAGAACAGGAAGCTATGAAAAAGGAACATTCATTGATCAAGAAAGAGCTTTCAGATAGGAGAGAAAAAATAGTAGAGTCAAGGAATGAGCCAAAGAAGAATGAAGTCAAGGAAATCTAGCAGACGATAGAAAGAGAAGACAAAGAGATAGGAAAGAGGAGTGAAACGGGTAAGAGAATCAGAAGATTGGAGAGGGGAGACCGCTCTCTGAAGGCCTGGCGCTCTACAGAGACAGAAGAGAGAAAACAGATGGGTAGCAAGCATCAAGAAACGACGAGAAGGAAGAGCAGAGGGGCCACGTCGCTGAAAGGCAGGGAGTAGTCAGAATTGCGACTCACTGGAGAAGGCGCTGTCTCGAAGGCCGCCAGGGTTGCTAGGCGCAGGAGCTGATGAGACAGTGGTGCCAGTGGCCGGGGCAGTATCAGGAAGAACCACCCTGAGGAGAAGTCAAGGGATGAGTGAGCAAGGACCCCAGGCTCAGCCCCCTTCCCCCACCTGGCCACTCACAAGTAGCCCTCGTTGTGATAGTCCTCGTCCTCGTCTTCGTCCTCGTCCTCACAGGCTGGCTCTGGGGTAATGACACAGGAGTCAGCATAGCCCGGGTCAGGCTCCAGCCTCCCCCAGCCAGGGAACCAGGGTCCCAAACGCACCGTCATTCTCGTAGCTTGCCACACTGTTGGCTATGGAGAGGGAGAGAGAAGGAGACTGAGTCGACTTAGGTGGGGCCTGTCTTCTGCCCAGCCCCAGCCCCCGGGCGCCGCTCCACACTTACCACCATCTGAATCTTGCCGGGAAGATGGCATGCGGTGGGAGCCCCCTGGGGGCTGTGGGGATCTCCTGGGAGTCAAAAGTCAGAGGTCATGCCTAGGATGGGACTCTGGGGCAAAAGGGATTACAACAAGGAAAGAGGCCCCCGATCCAAAGAGGTGAGGCATAAAGAGGGGAATTTGGAGGGGA